AAAAAAAAAAAAAAAAAAAAAAATAACAACCCATTAAAATTCGATTTTCCAATAAAAAACATGTCGATTTTTTTGAAAAATACTCATAATTGTTCGGTTACAAGTTGAGAGACAATTGAAGTGTTTATCTACTTATATTATAAAGAGAAAATAAAATATCAAAGGGTACCTGGAACCCCCAAAATAACGAGTACACATATCTAGTCACTAGGTTTTGTTCGGTGGTTAGTGCAACTGCATTTTGATAAATTCCATATGCAAAACCGTTTTGATCGAAACACGCAGTTGCATTGCTGTTGTTAAGCCATTGGTTCCATGTAGGATCATTCTTAAACTCCTCAATATTATCTCCATGTCCACAGTCGATAAATTCCATACATCGTAGAATGCCAGATCCATGGTGACAGGCATCTCGAAAGCATTGGTTCACTCTCTACACAAAATTAAAATCAAGAAATAAATGTCAATATATGAACTCGAAAATAGTGAGGCATGTAAAATTTGTGCTAAATCACCACCCATAAGGCTTGGGCCCACTAAGATGAAATCAGACTCCAAAAATATTTGTAATTTTATAGGTCAGCTTGGTTCTTCTAGAAATACCACAAACCTCAGGGGTAGTTTCGCAATTATCTCGTAACGAGTAACTATAGATAAAAAACAGACCTGCAGACCAAAAAGGTACCAGCACGAGCCCACAACATGACTAGCCAAGACGAACATGAGGAGATTTATGATGAAATTAGCCCATGCGGACTCGAATATGAGTCCAGAGGGGGACTGCCCGGCTAGCAAAGGTACGAATCTGTACAGCCTAGGAACATACTGAACAAGAATTGCTGCACGCAGAAGATTTTTCGCGTAATTTGCACCAGCTCCTCTTATAGAAACTGGCAACACAAATAATATAATGATCTACATACAAAATTAAAACCGTTGTCAGTAGCTTACCCGTGAGCTAAAGAACGGAATAAACACCAGAAATCCCACACAAGGTTTAACCTAACTTAAAAAAACTCGACTTTTCCCCCTCAAAAGTAGGGGGATATCTGAATTTAATATAACTGGGTTTTCTTATAGTTAGCACTATTTTTCAAAATTGAGATCAGCAAGTGACTTTTCGTTGGGATGAACGAGCTACAATTAATGAACACTCAATTTCAATGCTCATGGAGAAAGTTAGTTATTTCTTGAGCACCATAAACGACTTAGTGTTTATAAATTAACGAGACTTGTAAAAAGAATAAATAAAGAAAGGAACTTTACTAAAACATTAGCTTACCTGGGGAAGGGGCAGCACGTCAAAGAAATCGAGGATAAAATATCCAAAAAGATAATGCCGGGCAATTTTTTTGGGGTCATCCACTAACTCTCCAGCTCCCATTACACGAGATTCAGGAGCAACGTAAGCAAGCCTGAACTGCAAAACAGAATAAAAAACCAATCATAACATAGTAAAAAAATAAATTAATAAGCTGCTCCAAACGAAGGTTCGTAAACAAGACCAGGAAAAAATCTAGCTACCTGCAGGAGCATATGAAGAAAGTAAATAAAGTCGGTCATGCTTCTTAAAGCCACGATTGTTGTTGTCATGGGCCAATTTAATACTATGCACTTATTATCCTGAAAAAAAAAAAATGATACTGCAAATTGAGGAGTTTGAGTTCGATCATCAACCTCCTTCGGAATATGGGTGAAAATTTCATGCAGCAGTTTTACAGGAGGTGGTTGACAAAAAATCGAAACAAAGACTGCCCTCGTTTAGAAATGAAGATACTGTTAAATTGGTATGAGCATTTGTGTAAGCACATGTTATGGAACAACATTCAACAACAGATAATACCTTTTGCACAGACAGCAAAAAGAAGAATAATGGGTCCAAAAATACTGCAAACAAACATGAAATCACAAAGAATTTGTTCCACCGCTGAACAACTTTTGCATGAGGATTCATAACTCCCGGAATATAGGGTTGCAAGAATGAGCCCATTCTCTTCGCAAAGCTTCTTGCATCTCCATAGAACATATTTTGTAACTGCAAACAAGGTGAAAAATTTCAGGCAGCACAGTATATTGAGCAACTATGAAGCAAAAATGCGGTATCGTAAGTATTAATGAGACGTAGGAACTGGGAAATCACATTCAAGAACAAATATCCGAAATATTTACATATATATATATATATATACATACAGATAAATGTATTAAGCAGCTTGATGATATAGGAACCAAAATCGGAATTCATATCGACAGGTGGCGACTATTAAGTGTCCATGGACATCTTCTAACCTTAGGCAAGTAAGGCAACTTAATTCACCAACTGACCAAACTGTAATATGGCGTCTTAAGAACTATAGCCTCAAGTACAATATACAGAATTATTCTATATGGGAAAGAAAAGGAAAAGCAGAAAGGAAAAAAGATTTATCAATCAACCACTTTGAACCTAATAAATAAAGACCATGATAAGTCAATGATCCCCATCATCCATTAAAACTTAGAGATAGCTTGAGAGGGGACCATGATAAGTCAATGATACCCATCATCCATTAAAACTTTGAGATAGCTTGAGCAGAGAAAAATGTAACCATATCAGATGTGAAATTTTCAGATATGTCAGCCACCAAAGTTATATGCCAACAGCCTTTGTCAATATCAATATTATGGTATCCGTAAGTATTAACTCAACTATAAAAGAAATGTAAGAAAAACATAATATACCGTAGTGTCAAATATTTCCGATGTTCTCGACTGCTTCTGGCGCCCCTTGACATCATAATAGGTCGGGCACATCGTGCAATAAGGATCATCGCACATTCCAAATGGCCCCGACTTCAGTAAATTCTCGTTTTTGCCCTCATAGTTATCCGTTTGCCACTCGTTACTATCATGCACATCAAAGGACGAATATTTTTGTAACTTGGGCTCGCCAGCTTTTTGATCCAGTGAGAGTCGGGGTGGCTGAAAGATGACCTCATTGTTACCTGTCAGATACAGAGGACCACTTCTTTGTACAATTGAAGTTCGTCTCTCGGTTTTCAAAGGGCCTGTGTTCCCCGCGGGGGTGTTTGTATATTCATAAGGATCCAAATGGTCA